CCAAAAAGTGTGTCTTTGGTGTTGAGTTTGGGAAAAGGAGGATAGAGGCCAATCCGGAGAAGGTACAGGCGGTAATTGACATGAAGTCACCCCGCACTGTCAGGGTGTCTGGCAGCATTGGGGAGAAACCTCAGCCGATCAGGTGACAAGTGCCTCTACTTCTTCAAAGCAATCAAGAAGAAGACTAGATTTGAATGGGGGGAAAATGCTGAGGCGGCAATTCAAAAATTAAAAGAGCACTTGCACTCGTTGCCAAGGCTGGTTAGCCCCCTAGCCGGGGAGGCCCTGTACATGTACTTGGTCGTCTCAGATCATGCCCTTAGTGTTGTTCTCCTTGCTGAGAGAGACAACATTCAGCTCCCGGTCTATTTCATTAGCCATGTTCTTCGTAATGCTGAGCTACGGTACCCCTTGGTTGAAAGTGCCGGCCTAGCCCTTTTCATGGCAATCAAGAAGTTTAAACCCTACTTCTTGGCTCATCCGATGGTGGTCTACACAGACCAACCCTTCAAGCGGCCAATGACAACCTTGGAGTCATCTGGTAGAATGCTCAAATGGGCTATTAAAATCCAAAGTCTGGAAATAACTTTCGAGCCAAGGAAGGCAGTGAAGGATTAGGTGTTTACCGACTTCACTGACAAGGCCAGCTAAGCCGGAGAGTCTTGACCAGGTTTCGAAAGTGTATGTAGACGTGAGCTCTACAATAAACGGTTGTGGTGCAGGCGTAATTTGCAAGTCTCTGAAAGGGGATAAATATGAATATGCGCTACGGTTAGCCGGTATCCGCATGTGTAAGGCGGCAAGGGCAAGAAAGGTTGACGCCTGCTCTGATTCTCAGTTGATCATTAGCCAATACCATGGTGACTACGAGGCCACCCATCCAGCTATGATCAAATATCTGCAGGCGGTCAAAGATGAGGCTGGGACACTTGACGAATTTAATTTAAGTCAAGTGCCCAGGTCAGAAAACAATCAGGCGGATGCACTCTCTAAGTTAGCATCATCCGCCTCCTGTGATACGCCTAGGTCTGTCTTTTGGGAAGTCATGGAAAAAAGAAGTATTGAGCATGATCCCATTAGAGTTCTTGACCGAAGCTCGACCTGGATGGATGCCATCCGGGCTTTCTTGGCAGATGACACTTTGCCGGATGCCCCTTCTGAAGCCGCTGCGCTGAAAAGCGGGTGTCAAGTTTTGAGATCCACAAGGGGGAACTCTTTAAGAAGGGCTACCTCCAGCCGCTGCTGAAATGTGTTACCCCGGAAAGGGGGAAAGAGGTTCTAGAGGATCTGCACTCGGGCTTTTGTGCATCACATATAGGCGCCAGAACTCTAGCAAAAAGGGCCTGGCGGCAAGGCTACTTTTGGCCCACTCTTGAGGCAGATGTCATGGAAATGGTGAAGAAGTGTGATAAATGTCAAAAATTCGGCAAACTCATACACCGTCCGACTCTGATTTGACGGCTATTGACAGCCCAGTGCCATTTGCCAAATGGGGCATGGACATTCGGAGTCCATATACGCCTGCCACAGGCGGATGGAGGTACATCCTAGTTGCTGTAGATTACTTCACCAAATGGTTTCAGGTAGAGGCGGTCAAGGGCATTAAGACAAAGGATGTCATCTCCTTCATTTGGAGGAACATCATCACCCGGTTTGGGGTACCTATGTCTATGGTCTTTGACAATGGCCCTCAATTTGAAATGCCTACCCTCAAGAGCTGGTTGGGAGATCAAGGGATCTCGCATTGTTTTGCATCGGTCGGTCGTCCCCAAGCAAACGACCAAGTTAAAGCCTTCAACAAACTCATCTCAGATGGCATCAAGAAGAAAATTGAAAGGGTTGGCGGTCTATGGGCAGATGAGTTGCCTCATATCCTATGGGCCATCAGAACAACTGAAAAAGGGGCAACAGGTGAAACCCCGTTTCTCATGACCTACGGCACTAAAGCCGTCCTACCTATTGAACATTATGAGCCAACACTTCGAATCATGCTCTATGATGAAGAGGCTAATTGGGAGGCCATGCGGCTAGCATTGGATTCACTCCTAGAGTGCAAGGGCAATGTCGCCTTGCGTCATGAGATATACCATCTGAGAATGACGAGAGCCTACAACAGAAGAGTGCACAAACGACCCTTAAAAGTGGGGGACTTTGTGTTACAAAAAATGGAGGCAACCGGTAAGGCCAATGAGCAAGGAAAGTTAACCCCTAATTGGGAAGGCCCCTACCGGATTTTTGAAGAAGTTAGAGGCGACACCTACCGCCTGGAAACTCCAGACAGCAAGCAGCTAGCCTGAACTTGGAATGTAGATAACTTGAAAAAGTACTACTTCTAAAGACATGTAAATCTTTGTAAATAGATTATATTAATGAAAGAATGCTTTATTTTCATTTGTTTCTTGTACAAAGTCCAGTCTGTGCAATGCATAACCGGGAAAATGTCTGCTCTAACTTGAGTAAATAAAGACTAAGTCCAACACTTAGCAGATATTTCGAGGCCAATGGCCCGATGACATTAAAAACCAACCGCCTGTCCAACATGAGCAGGCAACCGGCGACGCCCATTCGGGTGAATTCGTCGAAAAGAGCATCTCCCATTTGGGTGGTACATTGTTCTATAAATCATAACTCAAGCAGCTTTAACCGACTGTTTAGGTTAAAGATAACTAATAACTTGCTATTTGATATGATTTTAGGGTGTTTTGAACCTAGTTTACTTGATAAAATTTGCGTTTTGGTTCATTTTTACTCTATTATTATGCAATTTTTGTGTATCCTATGCTTCACGGGTTGTTGGTGTTTTTGTTGAGATTCTAGGTTCAAAAGAACGACCAAATGGAGCCCATGGATACAAAGCCGAGGTTAGAAGCAAGAAGATGGTTGAAAGAAGCCAAGGAAAGGAGCGATATAGAAGAAAAGATGGAAAAAGGGCTTAGAAGACCCTGCACGGCCGTGCTAGACCTTGCACGTCCGTGCAGGAGGTTCCAGAAAGTTTCAACAAGCTGTCAAGGCCTGCACGGCCGTGCTTAATTCGGCACGTCCGTGCAGAAGAGGCTGCACGGCCGTGCCAGACCTTGCACGCCCGTGCAGGATGCTCCAGAAACTTAGAACATTCTGCCAAGGCCTGCACGGACGTTCCAAATTAAGCACGTCCGTGCAGATGTAGCTGCACGTCCGTGCCAATATCTGCACGTCCGTGCGGAGCTGCTTGGTTCTTAGCAGTACGTTCTGCCTCAATTCTGCCCCCTCTGCACGTCCGTGCCGATTCTGGAACGACCGTGCTTATGCTTGCACGTCCGTGCCGAATCTGGCACGTCCGTGCGGACCTGCAGTCAAGCCCGACTCTAGTTTTCTCCGTCCTTTTTATTTGGGGGTCTTATAAATACCCCCTTGGAGCTCATTTGTACGGACTAGGCAGTTTTTTTAGAGTTTTCTCTTAGTTTGGTAGTCTTAGAACATTAATTTCTCAATCATTAGTTAGTTCTCAATTATTAGCTTTGAAATATTCAAAATTCAACCATTGTAGAAGACAAGTTCCACCATTGTTGCTCACCTTGAAGCTTCATAGTAACCATTTCTTACTCATCTTTTCTACTTCTCTTTACTTTGTTGTCAATTAATTGCTAGTTCTTGCATGTTTAGATTGTTAATTAGCTTAATCCTTAGTTTGAACTTGTTCATGAATTGCTTAAAATCTTTAATTGCTTTAATCTCCATGGATTGTGAGTAGTCCAATTTCTAGGGTTTGGGTAAAACCCTCAATGTAGTCACTAATTACTTGTTGCATGTGCTAATTTGGTTGTTGTGGGATGATGATTAGTTGAGCTTAAGTGGTTTAATTGCTTATTTCTTGTACATGGCCATTGCTAGGACTATTTATCCAAGATTTCTCAACGAAGGATCGAGAGATGAACTTGAGTTAGCTCCCTTATGCTTGATTGACCCGAAATGCCATGAGAATAGGGATTACCGGTCAAGGGAATGTTTATGTTATCGTGATTATGCTTTAACACTTGTTTTATGCTATGTGACCACGAGAGTAGGTTGTATTCATGATTCAAGTAATCCCTCTAGCTTGAGAGAGTAGTTGGGTGCTTTAGATGACTTCCCCTAATTTATCCCATTAATTTACCTTGATTGTAGCATGCTAATTGAGATTTGTGATGAAATTGAGTGGTATAACCCAAGCCCTAGATTCCTCTTAATATTGTTAATCTCCTCTTAGCTTTAGTTGAATTGAATTAGAAGAAGTTACTCAAAACCAACCCAATTTAGAATTCATTTAGCTTATCTAAACGGTAGTACTCGGTGGTTGATTCAACGCCTCTCTTGGGTTTGACCCTTTCTTACCCTTGCTACTAGTTAGTGAGACCAAGATAGGAGTTATTATCTTTGGTAGGCTCGACGACGGCCTATCAAATTTTGGCGCCGTTGCTGGGGAGGCAAAGTCACATTGAATGTATTATTGTTGAATGAGACTAGATGTGTGTATATGTATAGTAGTTTTCTTACCTTAGTTTTTGTTTATGTGTGTTTAACTTGTGATAGTCATTGCTAACGTTTTTCTTAGCTTTGTTTGACTTTGTATGACACGAAAGAGTAAGCAATCACCGCTTATTCCCGTTGATCCAGAGCTAAATAGGACTTTGAGAAACGTAAGGAGACTCTTGCAAGGCACACCCGAGTTTTCCATTGTATACTCGGATTCCGATCCGGAAGAGGTTTTTGGAGCTAACGAAGAAGATAACATGGGAGAGAATCCTCCTCAGCCATTGTTAAGAGACTATGACCACCCCAACGCATTCCAACTTCGGAGTGGCATACGTCTTCCCACCACAAATGCAAACAACTTTGAACTTTCACCTCAACTCATCCGTATGATTCAAAGTGATCAATTCGGAGGTAGTCCTCATGAGTGTCCTTTTGCTCATTTGGACAACTTTCTTGAGTTGTGAACCATCAAGCAAAACAACATTTTGGAAGAGTTCATCCGTATGCACATGTTTCAATTCTCCCTCCGTGATAAAGCAAAACATTGGTTGAGAACGGTCGAAGAGGGATCATTGAGTACATGGGACGAAGTTACTAGAGCCTTTCTTGGAAAGTATTGTCCTCCGGAAAAGACCGCCGAATTGAGAAGAAAGATCACCAATTTCAATCAAGACATTGATGAAACATTGAGTGAAGCTTGGGAGCGTTTCAAAGATTACACAAGGAAATGCCCCCACCATGGTTTTACATCATGGATCATTGTACAAAGCTTCTATGACGGTCTTACTCCTATTTCAAGGGCCAACCTTGATTCCGGGGCCGGTGGTAGCCTCAAAAAGCTATCGGTGGATGATGCATACAAGATGATTGAAGAAGTGGCCAAGCATTATGCATATGGAGGTGATAAAAGGCAACCTCAAACAAAGAAGGGCGGAATTCATGATCTTAGTGCAATAGATCTTATTGCATCAAAGTTTGATATGCTAGCTCACAAGATAGATCAAGCCACCCTCACACCCTCAAGCTCTTCCTCACAAGTCATGTCTTGTGAGACTTGTGGAGGAAATGATCACTTGTCCTCTTATTGCAACTCAACGAATCAAGAGCAAGCGGCGGCAATTGGGCAAAGGAATGAACAATACTCCCAATCCCACAATCAAAGTTGGAAGCCCCAACAAAACACGGGATGGAAGCAATACAACCAAGGCCCCCCACAAAATAACTACAACCAAAATCAAACCCAACCTCAAAACCACTACAACCAACCTCATTCTCAAAACCAACAAGCTCCATATCGCCATCCCAACCAAAGGGATCAAAACCACCAAAGATCACAATATAACCAACCCGCTCCTCCTCCTCCACCTCCTCAAAAGACTAGCCTTGAGTCCGTTCTTGAAACTTTCATGACTCAACAAATAAGGAACAATGCGGATATGAATGCAAACATCCAACAACTCCAAGCACATAATAAGATAATGGAGAGCCAATTGGCTCAAATTGCACAACAAGTTGGAAGTTCATCCTCCAATCCTAGTGGTCACTTTCCAAGCTCAATCGTAGTGAACCCAAAGGAGCAAGCTAAGGCTATCACTTTGAGATCGGGAAGGGGTTATGAGGGCCCGGTTATGAGTGAAGAGGAGCCACAAAAGAGAGATAAGGGAGTTGTGGTGAGAAGTGAGGATGATTTTGAAAATGAAGTAGTTGAAGTTGAGAGAAAAGAGCAAAAGAGTGATGAGGGAGCCACAAAGAAAGATGAGGGAGATGAAGAAAGAATAGAAAAGCCCCCTATGAGAGTATATAAGCCCCCCATTCCGTTTCCTCATAGAATTGTAGAGAAGAAGTTGAATGAGAAGTTTTCAAAATTTCTTGAAGTCATGAGAGGACTTCAAGTGAACATCCCCTTTCTTCATGCTATGTCACAAATGCCTACCTATGCAAAATTTTTGATGGATCTTCTATCAAACAAGAGTAGGCTTGAAGAGAGTGCAACCATCTCCCTTCCTAAGGAGGTGATTGCAATCATTCAAAACAAGCTTCCCCAAAAGCTTGGTGACCCTGGTAGCTATGCAATACCGGTGAAGATTGGAGATTTGGAAGCTATGGATGCTTTATGTGATCTTGGGGAAAGTGTGAGCTTGATGCCCTATTCTATTGCAAAGACCTTGAAAGTTGGAGACTTGAAACCAACAAGAATGTCCTTACAACTAGCCGACCGCACGGTTAGGCTACCTTTGGGGATTCTTGAAGATGTGCCGATTCAAGTTGGAAGAGTATTTGTGCCATGTGATTTTGTAGTAATGGAGATGGAAGAAGATTCAAGAGTACCCCTCATTTTGGGGAGACCATTTTTGAACACCGCGGGAGTGGTGATTGATATGAAGGAAGGAAGATTGAATTTGAATGTGGGAGATGAGAAAATTTCATTTTCATTCTCACAAACTTTGAAAAAGCCATTGATTGATGAAGTTCATAGAATTGACACATTGGAGAGGGACTTAGAAGAGTTCCGAGAAAGATTGTATGAAAGAGATCCTTTACAAGCTACCTTAACGGGAAGCTTAGTTGAGGAGGGTGAAGAAGAAAAGGGGTATGATCTCTTGCTCAACCAACCTTTGGCCCACGAGGAGATGAAATTTGAAGTGCTTAACATGGAGGCAAAAGAGGAGAGGACTACGCCTCCTCCTAAGGTTGAACTTAAACCCCTTCCCCCTCTACTTAAATATGCTTTTCTTGATGATAGTGAGAATTATCCCGTTATTGTCAATGCTAAGCTCGATGACACCTCTCTTGAGAAACTCCTAGTTGTTTTAAAGAAGTATAGAGATGTCATTGGGTACAAAATTGATGACATTAAGGGGATAAGTCCCACCATATGCATGCATAAAATTCTACTTGATGATGATCATGCTTCCTCGATTAACCACGGTAAAAAAAAGAAGTTTTAAAACTTCTTGAGGCGGGCATAATCTACCTTATCTCCGATAGTAATTGGGTTAGCCCGGTTCAAGTTGTGCCTAAAAAGGGAGGCATGACCATCATCAAAAATGATAAGGGTGAGACCATTTCTACGAGGTCGGTCACCGGGTGGAGGATGTGCATTGATTATCGAAAATTGAATAAATCCACCCGGAAAGACCACTTCCCACTCCCCTTCATTGATCAAATATTTGAAAGACTAGCATCACATAGTCATTATTGCTTCTTGGATGGATACTCGGGATTCTTTCAAATCCCAATCCAACCCGAGGATCAAGAAAAGACTACATTCACATGTCCTTTTGGCACCTTTGCATATCGAAGAATGCCATTTGGGCTTTGTAATGCACCCTCCACATGTCAAAGGTGTATGATGTCTATTTTTTCCGACATGCTTGAATCATCAATTGAGGTATTCATGGATGACTTTTCTGTTTTTGGTTCATCTTTTGACACTTGTCTTTCAAATTTGATTAATGTGTTAAAAAGATGTCAAGAGGTGAATTTAGTTTTGAATTGGGAGAAATGTCATTTCATGGTAGAGGAGGGAATTGTTCTTGGTCATGTGATTTCTAGTAGGGGCATTGAGGTAGATCGTGCCAAGATTGAAGTAATTGAGCGCCTCCCACCCCCTACAAATGTGAAGGGGATAAGGAGCTTTCTTGGACATGCGGGCTTTTACCGTCGGTTCATTAAGGATTTTTCTAAAATCGCAAAGCCGCTCACTCAATTGTTGGTAAAAGATTCCCCTTTTGTGTTTACTAATGATTGTTTGCTAGCATTTGATAGGTTGAAGGAGGCCTTGATTTCGGCTCCTATAATTCAACCCCCTAATTGGGAGCTTCCTTTCGAGCTTATGTGTGATGCTTCGGATTTCGCCGTTGGGTCCGTTCTTGGACAAAGGAAGGACAAGAAGCTCCATGATATCTATTATACTAGCAAAACATTGGATGAGGCACAAAGGAATTACACAACCACGGAAAAGGAGTTTCTAGCCATTATTCATGCAATTGAGAAATTTAGGTCCTACTTGTTGGGCTCTAAGGTCATAGTCTTCACCGACCATGCGGCCTTGAAGTACCTCTTGTCTAAGAAAGAACCTAAGCCAAGATTGATACGGTGGGTCTTGCTCTTGCAAGATTATGATATTGAGATTAGAGACAAGAAAGGTGCCGAAAATGTTGTGGCCGATCATCTTTCACGGTTGCCTATCTTTGTAGGTGATCTTGATAACTTGCCAATTGATGATTCATTTCCGGATGATCAACTTTTTGTTATCCTTCGAGCACCGGCACCATGGTTTGCGGACATTGCAAACTACTTGTCTTGCTCTATTCTTCCTCCCGACCTCACCTATCAACAAAAAAGGAAGTTTCTTCATGATGTTCGCCAATACTTTTGGGACGACCCCTTGCTCTTTAAACAAGGTGTTGATGGCCTTTTTAGAAGGTGTGTCCCGGATGATGAAATTGAAAGTGTTATCACAATGTGTCACTCCTCACCTTGTGGAGGACATATGAGTGCTAACAAAACTTTGGCAAAGATCTTACAATGTGGTTTTTATTGGCCTTCAATGTTCAAAGATGTGTGGGGTGTAGTGAAAGCTTGTGACCGGTGTCAAAGAACCGGCAATATTTCAAGAAGAAGTGAAATGCCATTGAACAACATTCTTGAGTTGGAGATTTTTGATGTATGGGGCATAGATTTTATGGGGCCTTTCCCAACCTCTTTTGGGAATAAATTCATTCTTGTGGCCATCGATTACGTGTCAAAGTGGGTAGAAGCGGTTGCATCTCCTACTAATGATGCTAAGGTGGTGGTCAAACTCTTCAAGAAGGTCATTTTTCCGAGGTTTGGGGTGCCACGTGCCGTCATTAGTGACGGAGGCTCGCATTTTGCAAAGCGGTCCTTCCAAGCTCTTCTTGAGAAGTACGGTGTGAGGCACAAGGTGTCATTGGCTTACCACCCCCAAACAAGTGGTCAAGCCGAAATTTCAAACCGGGAGATAAAGGTGATCTTAGAGAAGACGGTGGATAGGTCTAGAAAGGATTGGTCTACGAAGCTAGATGATGCTCTATGGGCCTACCGCACCGCATTCAAGACTCCCATTGGCACCACCCCTTACAAGCTAGTATACGGGAAATCATGCCATTTACCGGTAGAACTTGAGCATCGTGCTCATTGGGCTATTAAAACGTTGAACTTTGACCTTCAAAGTGCCGGTGAAAAGAGGTTACTTGACCTCCATGCCTTGGAAGAGCTAAGATTGGATGCATATGAGAATGCACGGAACTACAAGAAAAAGACCAAGGCTTGGCATGACAAGCATATCAACAAAAGGGAGTTCAAGGAAGGTGACAAGGTCCTACTATTCAATTCCCGGTTGAAGTTGTTTCCGGGTAAGCTAAAATCAAGATGGAGTGGACCTTTTACCGTCAAGAAGGTGTTCCCATATGGTGCAATCGAAATTTCCAAAGAGAATGGTGAGCCGTTCAAAGTAAATGGCCAAAGGCTAAAAGCGTACTTTGACGGTTTCGTGAATGAAGAGGCAAAAGTTGTTCACCTTGATGATTTCGATATTCCTCACTAACATTTGATCCCGCAATATCGTCAAGCTAGTGACGTTAAAGAAGCGCTTCCGGGAGGCAACCCGAGTTCCTCACTCTCTCTCAATTATTTTTTTTTTATTATTTTTTTTATTTTTATTATTACTAACCCTTTTTTTATTTATATCTTTTGTAGGTATTTATTGAAAAGAGAAGTAATAATAAAAATAATAAAAAAAAGGGGAAAGAAGAAGAAATCGTGCACCATCAGATATGCACGGACGTGCAGAACATCGCACGTCCGTGCAGCCAAAGGCAGAACCTGACTGGTGAAATCTGAAGCTTCGCACGTCCGTGCCAAAAATCAGCACGACCATGCCAACCACTGCACGTCCGTGCACTCGAGGACAGAACAGATTGCCATTCTGCCAGGAATCTACACGTCCGTGCCAAAACCTGCACGTCCGTGCAGATTCAATTTGAACAGCAATATGCCGATTTTTCTATAAAAAAAAATAAAAATAAAAATAAAAATAAAACTTACATCAGCCCCACCCCACAATTCTCACTCCTCTTTCACACTCAAACTCTACTTCCTCCTCCATACTCCATACTACTACTATTTCTCCATACCTTATTCTCACCCATCAAACTCCATTTTTCACTCAAATCCCCATTCTAAACTACAATTTTCACCCCTCTTTCAACATTCTTCACAAATTACTACCCCTTTTTCACCATCAAAACCCCAAAATACCAAAATTTCCTCAAACCCTAACTTTCAAAATTGATTTGGGGGTTTCTTGAATTTTGATTCTTTAAGCTAATTGGGTGAACAAGGGCCTTCAATCAACAACAAGGAGTACTAGAAAGGTTCATTTGCGGGTTCTACACCCACGACATTCTTGGTATAATCTTTCTAATCTCAAGCTCTTCCTATATAGTTTAAATGCTTGTTGGTTGATATTATGAGTAGTAATAGTTGAAATTGTTGACATTTTGTTAAGTAATTGTGATTGTTGTTAGTTTAGTAGTATAAAAGAAAAAAAATTTGGGTGAATTGTGAGCATTGAAATTTTGGTTAGTGATAGGTTTGTGTAAGTATGGATGCTTTTGGTGTTGGATTGATGAAATGTTGTTGGTAAATTGTGAGCATTGACAATTTTGGTGTTGGATTGTTTGATTTAATAAGATAATTGATAGGTTAATTTTCGGGCTTGTTCTTGTTGTGTGTTGGTTAGGTGGAAGACTTAGAGCCTTGTGTGTTTCAAGTAATTGTTCATTAGGTGTTGTGCTTGCTTGAAGTGTTCCAAAAAATTTTGATCATGTCAAGAAGAAACCAACCAAGGAACACCTCATCCGCTAGGCTTAGAAAACCTCCACCTCCATCAACCGTCGAACCACCACAAGTGGACACCTTAGGTATTGTCTTTAATAATTCGGATTTCATGGACAACTACCTAAGAATTAGTAGGAGAAGAATTCGGCCGACGAAATTTTACAACCATGAGGTAGCCGAAGCCTTAGGTGTAGAGAATGATGTTAGACAACTTTTTTTTCAAACTGGTGTCCCAAATTGGTTAGAAATGCATGCTAACACCTATAAACGGCTTACCTTAGAATTCCTCTCCTCACTATATGTCCACCGAGATAACCGCAACAACCCCCGTTACCTGACCTTCCAATTGATGAACACCCACCACAAGATGACCATAGAACAAGTAAACCAAGCATTTGGGTGGCCAACGGATGGAAAATTCGGACCTAAGGATAAGCCTTCCCGAAAGCATAACCCGGGATCTTTTTGGAGAAAAATCACCGGCCTATTTACTAGAGATCCTAGGACCGACAAGGCCACGACCATAGTACACCCCGCATTTAGACTATCCCAGCGTCTAATAGCTAATACTATTTTTGCTAGGGGAGATAGTTCGGGTGTAGTTTCTAACCGTGAGTTGCTTTTTCTTTGGCACTTGAGTGAGGGTGACGAAAGGTTGAACTTAAGGGCTTGGCTTGTAGACCACCTAGATGACGTATCCTCGGGGAGTGGAGTGATAACAATTGGGGGGATGATCACTATTATTGTTGCTTTTCTTGATCTTAATTTTGCAGATTTGGAGATCATTCCCGGACCAACGACACTCGACATCCGCTCCCTCAAGGCTATGCATTGGTTGGAGGAAGATGAAGAGGGTAGGACCTACACGTGGATGGTAAGTAGGCGCCCCTATGCAACTTTGCCAAATCCGGAAGCCACGGTTATTTACGACCCCGAGAATTGGGTCTTTGAGTCGGATTTTGAGTGGATTCCGGGTGGAGAAGATGACCAAGCCCAAGGCGGTGAGGAAAAATTCCAACAACAACAACAACAACAGCAACAACATCATCAACAATTTCAACAGCATCAACATCATCAACAATTTCAGCAACAGCAATTTCATCAACAACACGAGTTCCAACAAAGGGACCAAGAGGGTTACCAAGATCAAGGTGTGGGTGAAAACAACCCATACCTCTCTTTTGAGCAGCAATTAGCCAACATGAATGCGAATTTTGCCCGCATGACCACCGAATTCGAGACCTTAAGGAAATCAAACGAAGACATGAGGACTTCTTTTGACAATATGAGAACAAGTTTCGAAAGTCTCAGATCGGAGTCGGGCGATTTCCGCACTGTGTACCGGCGTCTCTACCCAGGGGGCTCAAGCTCCCAAGGGGGCCCGAACCAATGAGTTAGTTTCTTCCTCCCCTTCTCTTTGTGCTTGCATTGCTTTAACATTGGGGACAATGTTTATGATAGCTTGGGGGGAGTGTTTTCTCATGTGTCATTGGTTCATGTTGTGTTTTCGTGTTTCCATGATTGAGTTGCATGTTGTTTATTCCCATTCCCTTCTTCCCTAACATCCAAATCCTTTAAATCCAAATTTGCCCCCTTTGAAATCCAATACCCTAAATCCAAATTTCTTATCTTGTGAATACCTCTCTTATCTTTTTATTTAGATGTATAGTTTTTTTTTGTAATTTTTCATTTCTTACTAAAAATAAAAAATAAAAATAAAATAAATTGAAAAATGAAAATTGCCCAAGGATGAAACTCAAATGACGGCGCTAATATGTTTTGCTTGCTTGACTCTTGAGTGATGAATAAAAATTCTTTTAGAAGGGTGTATGCAAGAGTTGGGGTCATTTAGAGGTCTATTAATCCTGGTTGCATTAGTGTATATGAAATGAAAGTCGATGAATGCTCAATTGCACGTCTAGCATAGGATATTGTTAAAATTTGCCCAAAGTAGGATATGTTTGAGTCAAATTGCGGTCCCTTGTGCCCTTAATGTGCCTCCTCTCCTCCCCAAAATGAAACTTTATTAAGGAATTAGTTCTACTTGTATTATGTGTAATAAGTGGCATAATAAGCCACACGTTTTGAATAAAGAAAGAGCCGCTCACAGTTAAAAGAGGCGAGGGCAATAATGTTACTCAAAAAAAAAATAGAAAAGAATGGAGAACAAAAACTTCCCCAAAATTCTCAAAATTTTGATTTTCTTTTCTTTAGAGGTCAACTTGTGGATGCCTCCCACACATTGTCGAATATGTTGTTTATTGTTTCTTGTGAAATTCCCGAGTTAGAGTGTAATTAAGGGGCCTTGGGTGTGCATTTTGGGAGGTGGACTAGCATTTTGAGATTTTATAACCGAAAGAGGGCTTGTTACAACTTTGGAATATCTAGATGTGCTCTAATGAACTAGTAAAAGGTCTAAGGAAGTATCCTAATGCAACCTTGCTTAGTTTCCCTCTTTACCCCCAACTCAAGTGTACATTTATATGATTGGGAATCCTTGAAAGTTGCTCACTTGACTTGCTTGCGATTTCTATCCCAATGAGTTGACTTGGGTGATAAAAAACATTGGAATTTGTGTGGTCGATAGTTTTGTCATGGTCTGTGTGAGTTGTGGGTTAAACTCAATGGAAACCCTCACGAGATAAAAACTCGTCCTCTAAGGCGACTTAGAGGTTTAAATTGCTTCTCACTTGTGCTAAAAGTGATGATGGTTGTCACCATGCGGATTTTTTTATTTTTGCTTCCTCCTTGTTGCCTCTCCTTGGATTGATGTTAGCAAGTTGCTTCCCTCCTTTGGTTTGACATGTTTGTTTTGCTCGAGGACGAGCAAAAGCTTAGCTTGGGGGGATTTGATAACTTGCTATTTGATATGATTTTAGGGTGTTTTGAACCTAGTTTACTTGATAAAATTTGCGTTTTGGTTCATTTTTACTCTATTATTATGCAATTTTTGTGTATCCTATGCTTCACGGGTTGTTGGTGTTTTTGTTAAGATTCTAGGTTCAAAAGAACGACCAAATGGAGCCCATGGATACAAAGCCGAGGTTAGAAGCAAGAAGATGGTTGAAAGAAGCCAAGGAAAGGAGCAATATAGAAGAAAAGATGGAAAAAGGGCTTAGAAGACCCTGCACGGCCGTGCCAGACCTTACATGTCCGTGCAGGAGGTTCCAGAAAGTTTCAACAAGCTGACAAGGCCTGCACGACCGTGCTTAATTCGGCATGTCCGTGCAGAAGAGGTTGCACGGCCGTGCCAGACCTTGCACGCCCGTGCAGGATGCTCCAGAAACTTAGAACATTCTGCCAAGGCCTGCACGAACGTGCCAAATTAAGCACGTCCGTGCAGATGTAGCTGCACGTCCGTGCCAATATCTGCACGTCCGTGCGAAGCTGCTCAATTCTTAGCAGTACGTTCTGCCTCAATTCGGCCCCCTCTGCACGTCCGTGCCGATTCTGGCACGACCGTGCTTATGCTTGCACGTCCGTGCGGACCTGCAGTCAAGCCCGACTCTAGTTTTCTCCGTCCTTTTTATTTGGGGGTCTTATAAATACCCCCTTTGAGCTCATTTGTACGGACTAGGCAGTTTTTTTAGAGTTTTCTCTTAGTTTGGTAGTCTTAGAACATTAATTTCTCAATCATTAGTTAGTTCTCAATTATTAGCTTTGAAATATTCAAAATTCAACCATTGTAGAAGACAAGTTCCACCA